TTTGTTATTTACTCTCAAGGGTTATGATTTTGACAATTTGAATTATAAATTGCTATTATGTGATGTGCTGCTAGTTGTGGTAGTGATGGTGTTGTGGAGTTGGTGTTTGGTGGTGGTGCCAGTGGTAGGTAGGTTGTAGGGTTGTGGATGTAGACTAGTGGTTGTGTTGGCGTTATAACATTGTTGGTAGTTAGTGTAGTGATGGTGCGATGGACGTGATGGTCGTGGCTAGGTGGCAGTGGTGGAGGTAGTAGCATTGGTGGTGGTGTAGCTATGGGATATAGGGGTGCTAGTGGTGGCGTAGTGGTGGTGCGATGGAAGTGATAGTGCTGGCTAGGCAGTGGCGGTAGAGGTAGTAGCGGTGGTGGTTGTGTGGCTATGGACATGGCAATGGTATAGCGGTGGCAATGGGTATGGTAGAGTCCCAAACTAAGCTTTGTATGAGTGACCGAGCAGACTCGGTAGAGTCCATGATGGATGCAAACCCAACTTAGGTTGGGTTAAAGTCATTGGGACCCCAACCCAACTCATTGGTTCAAATCATGGGTCTTGACCTCAAACCGGTTTGGGGTAGCCCACCGACCCGATTGCGACCCCAACAATGGTAGTGGCAGTAAGGAGAAAAAGAATCAAACAGTATGGTGGTGGTGACAATTTGGAGTAGTTTTAGAAAAAAATAAATTTAAGAGCCCAATTAAAGCTAGGAATCAATTGAAATTTGCGAATCAAGCATCTCTCAAGGACAAACATCTAAGGTAAAATTTTAAAAGAAGGCCCAAATAACAATTTGGTTAGAAAAATCAAACATTAAGTAGCAATATGATCAAAGACTATGATTAAGCGCACAACGGGGTGGGTATTGGATGATGTCTAGCGGTTCTAGAGATAATCTTGAAATTTGAATGAAATCGATAGGCACGTATAAGTTGAAGCCTCACGCTTTCCAAGATTAATTACAGCCACAACCTGTTAAGTAAGCCTTACCTTTTGGCGTGATAATATTTTTGTGAAAGTATTTTCACAAAAAAAGAGTGCCTTCGTGTGGTTAGGTATATGAGTTTTTTTTCACAACTACCATTTGATGTGAAAAAATGCAATGAAACAAAATTGGTGTAACAAAAACTCTCTCACCACATGGGGGAGTCCCGCCTTGTGAAGATACTTTCATGAAAATATTTCACCCTGCACTAAACATGTAGTTCCATCCACCCACAAAATAAAAGTTAATTATCTATAACAACCATCCATTACTAGGGCCTTTTGAACGTGTATGACATGTTTGATTGGGGCAAAGTCCCCCTCTTCCACAAAATATGGAAGGCGTTAGGAATTTTCATATTTTAATGATTTTCTCAAAGGGAAAGCTTTCTATGTAACTTCAACCACATATAAATTATATATGACTCTACTTCTCAACCGGTCAGTTTAAATGGACAGTTAGGATTGCTTATGTCCATGCCAAATATTGCTTGATTTTTAATTTTTTTCTATGAAATGTTTTTGAGTGATAATTGGGGCGTCCCATCTTCTTATTTGCGTGCATATAGAAAAAAAAAATTCTCATGAAACAAATGACCAAAATGCCTCCAAAAGTTTCAAGGGTATTTAATTTCTTATCAAAAGAAACAACATACCCATAAAATGAACATAGCTGCGATGGGATGTTGAGATGGATGAGTAACAAGAAAAGAAATGGTCGAATTCGAAACAAATGCATTTGAGAGAATTTAGGTATGATACTAATGGGCAATAAGATGAGAACAAATAGACTTAGATAAGCTGATCATGTGCAGTGCAGGCCCAGTACAACACTTATTAGAATGTGTGAGTTAGTTGAAGTAGAAGGCTTAAAAAGGACAAAGGTTAGATTCAAAAAGACATAATTAGAAATAAAGAGAAACAATATAGGAACTTATGACCTCACTGAATGTATGACCCTTAGTAGAGTAGAATGATAGATAAAAATTTGTGTGGCTAACCCCAATTAGTTGGAAAATGACTCTGATGATGATGATTATGTGCACCTTGTTAGATGTTTGCAAACTTCAAATTTTCCTGTAAAACAAAGATTAAAAATAAGGCACTCAGAACCATCAGATCAGGATATGAGCTTAAGAGCCAACTTATTAACATGGTGACAAGCTATCCCATTAATATACTCAAATTTGACGGCTAAAGCTTTCGTGTTTTTAAAACCCATGGAGTTGCGGGCTTTCCCTCTTGTGGCTTTCACAGGGGTGCAACAAATATGGGAGTGGGATTGGTCGAACTTGAGTTTTCCATTAGTGAAAATTTCTATCAAAACAAACATGCTCCTAAGGTAAAGTCGGGAGATGGACGAAGGATGATGACCTTTAATCAGGTGGAAAAAGTTCAGGGACTACATTTACTGTATAACCATTCACTTTTTTTGTACAGATAGGTCACGGGTCGTTTAGGCACATTGATTTTGGGGTATGGATTTTTAATATCTTGGATATTGCAAAAGCCACTGTCTAGTTTGGGCAATGGCTAGGGTATTATAATTTTATAGGGATTAAATATTAGAAAATCACCTAACTTTTCCACGATTTTATTTTCAAAGCAAAACCTATTTTTTTGAATTTCCAAAGCCTGTGGATTCCACTTGTCGGCTCTTTAACCTGAAACCTAGGGCACATATGGTAGGTATGAAAGTATTTGAACGAAAATACTTTCATGTGAAAACTATTTATGCATGTTTGGCATGCGACAAATACAAAAAACTATATCAAATTTTAGAGAGGGAAAGTACTTTAAAATTTTTAAAGAGAGAAACTATCTCTAAATTTTTAGAGAGTGAAACTATCTCAAATTTTTAGTATTAGAGATACTATATTTAAATTTTAGAAAGAAACTATATCAAAGAGAGCCTAAATTTTTTAGAGAGATAAACTATGTCGAATTTTTTAGAGAGAAATTATCATAAATTTAAAGTTTCAGAGAGGGAGAGCATCGTAAAATTTTAGATAGAGAAACTATATCAAATTTTAGAGTGAAATTGCCTAAAATGCTTTAGCGAGAAAAACTAGCTCAAACTTTTAGAGAGAGAAACTATCTCAAATTTAAATTTAGATAATGTACCTTAAATATTTTAGATAAAGAATCTATCTCAAAGTTCTTGGAGAGGGAAACCATCTTAAATTTAAAATTTTAGAGAGTGAAAGTACCTCAAACTTTTTGGAGAGAGAAATTATCTCAAATTTAAAATGAGAGAGATAAAGAAGATTAAAACTTTAGAGAAATATTGTATCAAATTTTAGAAATACAGTACATGAGAGATACTATCTCAATTTTTTTAGAGAGAAACTTCCAATTTAAAGTTTTAGAGAGAGAATCTTAAAATTTTAGATAGAGAAACTGTATCAAATTTTAGAGTGTAAGTACGCAAAAACTTTTAGAGATAGAAACTATCTCAAATTTTTTAGAGAGAAAAACCGATTTCAAATTTTAAGTTTTAGAGAGAAAATATCTTACAATTTTAGATAGAGAAACTATATTAAAATTTTGAAAGTCTACTAGAAATTTTTTAGAGAGAGAAATAACTCAAATTTTTTGAGAGAAATTATATCAAATTTTAAGTTTCAGAGAGAGAAGGTATATTAAAATTTTAGAGATAGAAACTACATCAAATTTCAGAAGGAGAAACTACCTGAAAACTTTTAGATAGATAAACTATCTCAAAAATTTTAAATGAGAGAAACTATATCAAATTTTAAGTTTTAGAAAGAGAAAAATATCTTAAATTTTTTTAAAGAGAAACTATATCAAATTTTAGAGAGAGAAACTATCTCAAAATTTTAGAGAAAAAAACCATATCAAATTTCAAGTTTTAGAAGGAGAAAGCATGTTAAACTTTTAGTGAGAG